AACCCATACCGCCAATTTTCCTTTGTTGACCATCCAGGAGACCATTTTGAAATTCTCTTTGACGCCCTTGGACTGGCGCCAATCCCGCCGACGAGGCTGCCGCCGGCGAGCCGCAGGGCGTATCCGAACGCCGCGCCAGCACCCCATCCGCCAGAGGGCCACGGCCTCCCTGAGCCCCGGCGGGACCCTGTCCATCGCGATCACTCCCCTACGACGGCGGCGAAGGCAGTGGAGGCGGCGGCGGCGCATCCGCCTGCGGCCCCAACCGAACGGCTCCATCTTCCTGATCAATGGAGATCGAGTACCACAGTGCATCTGGCGCGTCGACCATTCCCAGAGGCCGAGCACCCCTCCCGCCCGGTTCTTCCACAACGAGGATTCGCCGGGATGGGATCCTCGCCGAGTCGTCCGTGCGTAGCCAAACTCGAAGCCTCGACATGTCATTCCGCGCCTCCGTAGACGCCCCACCTTGACCACAATGCCCATGCCATGGACCAGAGTCTCAACCATTCTCCTGGTCCAGGCGTTCGTCGGCACGCCCCGCAGCACCAGCGGCACTAGGAAAGGCATGGTGATCGCCGTCGCCCCAGCACCACGCAACCACGGACTGAGCAAGAGGTCGAACTGCGGCGTGCCCGCCCTACGTCGGCTGACCATCATGTTCCTGATTTCCACCGAGCGACAGAGGATCAGAAAAATCTTCCGGATCGAATGCCCTAATTGATATGTCCAACGGCCCTAGCTCGAACTCCTCCACGATGACGGCCGCCACCGCCGCCAGATCCGCCAGCCGCCTCGAACCGACCACCGAGACCAGCACCGCTCGAGACTGCTCTTCCTCCATGGCCCGAAGATCCGGACCAGTCTCCATGAAACAGCAGTCCACCTGCTTATCCACCACGGTCTGCGAAGCGCCCGAAGACACGCCCTGCACGACGGCACCGGCCGGCGCAAAGGGCACCGAGAAGCCCGGCCCAGCCACACTGGCCACCGACTCAGCCCCCGACCGGACCACCTGGCTCCACGAGACCCTGACACGCGCCACGCCCGGAGGGGGCGGACCCGACGGAGGAGGGGGCAGACGCGGGGGGCCCGCCGCACCAGGGCCGGCGGAACCGGCGCGGGCGGCGCCCCAACCGGCGAGGAAGGCGACAGCCGAGGCCGGAGCGCCGCCGGCGGCCTAGGCCGATCCACCGGAGATGAACTGCGCGGACGCGGACGATGGCGCGGCAAAGTGCAGCCCTTTGAGATGTGCCCCGCCTCCCCGCAGCGCACACACACCGGCGGGTTGGTGCACATGGCCGAGATGTGCCTCTCATCGCTGCAGTTGTAGCAGCAGCCGATGAGCATCGCCGGTATGCGCCCACGCGGCGGCCTGGAGGAGGGAAGGACGCCTGGCCACCTACCAGGAGGGGACCGCCGGATCTGGCGAGGCGGCGACTGCCGGCGCGGCCCCATGCCCCCCTCCCCCTCCCCCGGCCACCACGGGTCTGCCACTCCGGCCGCAACGCCTCCGCGGGGCGGGAAGACGCGCCCTGCACGATTGGCCCGTGCGCCGTGCCCACCACGTCGGGAACCACCAGAAGCGACCGCAGCACCGGCCTAGGGCCCAGAGAGGGAGGAAGGGGGGAGACGGCGGCATGTCGGAAGACGCCGCAGACAGCGAGACCCTCTCAGCCATGCTTGGACGCCGGCTCAGGAGTGGAGATGGCGGGGGGGAGGTGGCCACTGGGGCCGGAGTAGCCGCCGGCGCGGAGAGAGGGCGAGAGCGCGGAGAGAGGGCGAGAGGGCGAGAGGAGGTTACTTAACTTCTCAACCAGCTAGTGAACTTGTGGTCACGTGTCTATTTGCCAAAACTCCACGGCATGGTATAGCACCAACAAAGCTCTCCACATATGCACTTTGATCTTTGTAGCCACTCGCAATTTTCAAATAACTCCCCAGACCGGACTAGTACTTGAGGTTGTAAAGAGTTTGTCATCCTCAACCTTCGTTTATGCTTGTATTACCGATCTATCCGATAGTTCATCAAAAGGAAATAAATAACCAGAAATTCACTTTGGCACATGAGAGCATATGCTCTTGCCATTGGGAAAAAAACATTTCAAATGCAAAAAGTTCCGAACAAAATTTTGACGTGATCTCGATATTCTATGTGTGCATGCAAGTTTTGCATAAAACTGATATTTTTTGTGGCTTGTGTAAAAGGACAAAAAATGTCTCGTGAAATGCCTTTTTTAACACCGAACTTTATCTTTTTCATATGCGGCACAAAAGTTGTCGTTTTCTCAAAGTTTTTTTTCAAAGCTGCCTATTTTCCAGAAATGATTTTGTGAGCACTTAGAATGTTATGATATACGCGTGAAATTTATTGTCAGAATTTTATGACATTTCTAAATACATTTAAAACACATTTTAAAAATCAGGAGCATATGTTCCCGGCCAAAACGCCCCTCTCCAATGTGTTACAAGTACAACACACGAAGAGGAATAAGAAACTAAACTCATCATTGTTTAGCAAAAATCCAATTCGGTGCCCAGCCTCATCTGCACCCGGTTAAAAAATCAAAATAAATACTAAAAAATTCAAAAAAAACATTTTTTTGTGTGATAGAAAATTGTATTCGTGAGGTTCGTTCCAAATTTCAACTTATTTGGACATCTGAGCAGCTCTCAGCAAAAAGAACAAATCGGGTCAGAACAGTGTGTGAACAGTAAACTTTTTTACAGACCTGAATTTGTCTTTTTTTGCTGAGAGTTGCTCAGATGTCCAAATGAGTTGAAATTTAAAACGCAGCTCACGCATAAACTTCTCTACCACACAAAATTATTTTGAAAGTTTTTGAAATTTTTTGTATTTATTTTGATTTTTTTTTTTGTCAGGAGGGTGCAGATGAGCTCGGGAGTAGAAACGCCGCACTCGTTGTTTAGGCCCTTTACAGAGTGCACGTGCTAAAGTGAGTGCCTAAGGCCTTCTTTGGTTTATAGGGTAGAAAAATCGTAGGAATAGGAGAGTTATAGGAAATAAAATGATAGGTATCTCAATCCTATGAATAGGAATAGGAAAGGAGATTTTGATTCACATCATAGAATTTTTTTTCCATTGAGTCTAGGCTAATGTTTATTTTCCTATGAAATGTGGAGGATAGGAAGAATTCCTCCATAGGAATAGGATTCCATTCCTACAAACCAAAGAGCTATAAAGGGAAAAAAATCTATAGAACCCTATCCTATGAAATTCCTATAAGATTTCTCTAAACCAAAGGAGGCCTAAGTAGAAAAACATTTTTTTGTCTTGAGATCAGGTTGCACCGGCGCTGCAGAAGGGCAGCGCGAGAGGGGAAATATCTGATACTCTCATCCCTAGGGTCTGGTGCTCCAAAACTCGGCACCACATTTTTTAATGTTTGAAAAATTCTGAAAAAAATCTAGCACATTGACACAACATCAAAATATGTTGTAAAAAGAATATGAAATTAAAATTCAAAACATAACTTTACAAACATAAATGACAAATTCGACAGTAAATAGTACACAACATAAGTTGGGCTTTAGATTAGGCCCATTATCACATTGATGTCCATTTTGTCATTTTTGTATCTCGAACAATATTTTGAATTTTGATTTGAATTTTTTTTAACAACATACATTGATATTGTGCCAATGTGCTGGATTTTTTTTCAATTTTTTGAATATTTTAAAATGTGGTACCGAGTTTAGAGCACCAGGAGCATTCTAAACGTGGGAGTACCAGATATTTCCCCAGGGGCATACTCCTCACTGCACATGGCCTTATAATGTCGCAAGGCGTTTATGCCCACTTTAGACACTGGCCTTACAAACTTTAGGCGTCACTTAGTGCTCACCTTAGAGCATTTTCAATAACCGCCCAACGCGCAACAAGCTAAAAAAGCATTTGCAATGCGGCGGTTACCTGTTTTTGCACAGCACGAAGCGTGGCTCCAGCTGCCGCTATAAACTTTAGCGTGGATGAGTAGCTCTAGCAGGCGCTGCAAAAAAACTGCGCGCGCGCTCTCGCACAAACAATATATGCACTCCAAACATAACTAAGAAGATCAAACACAAACAAAATAAATCAACAATAAATAGTTTAATTTTGTTATTATAACCCAAACAAATAGTTATCTTTCAATACAACAAATAGTTCAACAATACAACATCAAACGCACAAATCATGATGCTCTTTGTCGGTCATTCCATGCCCATCACACATCAATGAGATTATTTTCTGAAGATCATCATGCATTTTGGCACGTCAAATGGCATGATAGGAGGCAACAAAACGGGTCACCCTGGCAGCCCTCCACCGCACTCGCACGAGATGTCCCAAAAGCTCATTGTGAGAGTAGTCTACATCTTGGCCACGCTCATTCTCGATGATCATGTTAAAAGCAATAGGGTCGCACACTCGAGTGTCCAGCACATGAGAGCAGGCGCAACAAATAAACAGCGTGCGATGGCGTTTCGGCCCACGTGCTGAACTAGTTATGCCGCGCGTGCGCACCCGGAGCGGCAGTACACGCAAAAACCACTAATATTTCAACGCGGCGCTTATATAGCACGTCCGTTGAAGATGCTCTTAGTCACCTTAGTCTTATCAACAACATAACTCATGTACATTTTTTCCTTTCATTTGTCCTCGAGATGAAAGTTAATTATTTTTCAAGAACATGATTACAATATACGTAGCACTTATTAGATCAACATTTGCCACGTTGGGTAAAAGTTGGCGTCCTGATAATATCCAAGGAGAAAAAAAACTATTTCCAATAAGGTTCCAATAAATCAAAACACACTTCCTGTACGATTAACAGGAAAAAATGTTTCTTCCCCAGCACCATTAGTTGCACAAAATTAACTCTCCCAGTGGGCGAGGAAATGAAGATGTTAAATCTGGCTTGCCTTATTTACGGATGGGCTAGGAACCACGAAGTGGTAACCTGAACGATTCGATGAGAAGTATAACTAACAGGATGCTTTTAATCAGAAGGGCCAATCATTTTCTCTGGAACAACGAGTTCATGGAATTCTTTTTCCGTCAAAACTCCAAGGCTTAAAGCAGCTTCCTGGTAACAAAAAAAGTGAAGGAACCCAGGATTAATAATAAATTCTAAATATAATCCACACTTGTACCATGATTTTAAGCGCACAGCATCAGCAAGCAGTAGAATTACATTATGATACACTGTAATAACTAATCATATTAAAACAGGAGACCAAAGAGCCCAACAGTAGGTAATGTAATGAAATTTAGACTTCTAATCCAAATAACACGATCATGAGATTTTACGCCTTATAATCGGCTGTTAAAATTCCAGCCGAGATATGAAAGGCATGTTATTCACACGACCTTGGAAGCTAGTCTAAAGTACATGCACTAAGAGACCAGAGCGAATCAAACAGATGCAAAGTACTCTCTCCGTTTCTAAATATTTGTCTTTCTAGAGATTTCAACAAGTGACTACATACGGAGCAAAATGAGTGAATCTACGCTCTAAAATATGTCTATATACATCCGTATGTGATAGTCCATTTGAAATCTCTAAAAAGACAAATATTTAGGAACGGAGGGAGTACATGCACCAAGAGACCAAAGGAAATCAAACAGATGCAATAGTCACCTTCAGTGTTGTTCCTTCTTTGTGAGCTTTCTTAGCAACGGCTGCAGCATTGTCATAGCCAATTTTCTGTATTCATTGGAGAATTAAACATGAATTCCCACAGGTTGTACAGCAAGAATTAAGTTAAGAAATGTAAATAATGCATTTTACTTACGGGGTTCAACGATGTCACCAACATCAAAGACTGTACAAAATAACAGAGAAATTAATGAATTAATATAATGATCTGAACTCGATAAAAAGGATAGTGCAGCAATCAAACTAAAAACAAATCAACATAGTTACCTCGTGCAACAATTGTGAAATTCTCTTATGGTTTGCTTCTATTCCCCTGACACAGTTTTTCTCAAAGGATACAGATGCATCCCCTAATAATCTCAATGACTGTTGGAGAAAAGGGATGGTGTGTCAACCAAATTATAGCATGCATGCAAGCAATAGCAGATAAATGGGGTTAAAATTTGGCAAGTCACAGTAACAAGAAATATGCAGATTAATAAGAGGGTTTAGTGTGGTTATTCAAAGGACAGTTCACTCCATCCATTAAATAAGCATAGTGTGCAATGCATGAGAACAGAGATCATACTCGAAGCAATCCAGCAGCAATCATTGGCTTATAAACGTTCAGTTCAAAATGCCCATTTGAACCACCTATTGTAACACCGACATGATTGCCCATAACCTGCAGTATCACAAATCCAAACAAGAACCGATTACCATATACTCCCTCTGTTTCAAAATAGATGACTCAACTTTATAGTAAGTTTAGTACAAAGTTGAGTCATCTATTTTGGAACGGAGGGAGTAGAATATTCACACGAACAGCGAACCAAGGGGAATTCCTTATATACCACCAAATGTGTGCTATATGCCTATATCCCTATATTTTTAGCAAGGATGATGCAAACGGAAGGGTGATAGTGCATATTGTGGTTTAGACACTGGTCCCATCAGGAATCATAGAGATCTTGTTTGTGTTAAGATTCATGCACTAGCCAGCGCAACCAAAAGTCTGAACTGATGGAAAGGGCTAGGCAATCCACATTTACACTTCAACAGTTTGCACAATAGCTTCTACGCTGCTTAAAATTAAACATTTGACAATAAACCTGAGCATCTAAATAGGGACTCATGACAAAACTACAAATGAAGGATACTATTATAGCACATTCTATCAGCCTTCTGTTCTGTATAAGAAAAGCCCTTAAACATTATCTTCTACAAATAATCATGTGTTGTAAAAAAGACCTAAGAGTTTCAAAATGTCTTGCTGCACACCTAACTAATAAAGCTAGATAGAGCAAATAAGGAATTATGTAAAACATAAGCTGAAAACAGACCTATGATAAAGATCGACAGAACTTAATATTATAGTTATACACTATGGAAAATATTTAACAACTGTTGGGAAATAAACGATATTTTAGATAAGCAGCACTTGTGCATCAAAAGCATAGAGCAAATTGCAGAAAATCATTTAGACTAGAAGGATATATTAAAATGGAAAAATAAGGTACAAGTAGCATACCTGAGCACAAACCATGGTCAGAGCCTCACACTGGGTAGGATTAACCTTTCCCTGAAAGAAAGAAGCAGTTACATACCAGAGGAGACAACAAAGCTGCAATCGACTAACATGCTGAAACAACCAAATTAAAAGAGTGATATACTGCTTACAGGCATAATGCTGCTCCCAGGCTCATTTTCTGGTAGGATAAGTTCACCAAGTCCACAACGAGGGCCACTGTGATCATATTGGAAATGTTAAGTGCAGCTCCTCAAAATATTACGAAAATATTGATTATCAGAAAAGGTAATAGAAAACTGTACTGACCTTCCCAGCAAGCGTATGTCATTTGCTATCTTCATAAGAGATGCAGAAATTGTGTTAACAGCACCACTGCTCTCAACAAAAGCATCATGTGCTGCCTATTACGCAAAAAAAATGACAAGATTAGCACAAGTATGAAATAAGATCAACAGTTAAAGGGAGTTAGGAGGCGGGAGCAAAGCAATAGAAAATTGTAATCCAAAACCACAATCAAAGCAGGGAAAGGGAGGAATTTGCTATTACAGAGAGCAAGGTAAACAATTAGCAACTTAGCCTAAATGGTTTCTTAATTGCCCTGGGTTAATAAACTACTGGATCTTCGACAAATCAACATTTGCTGACAAATGCTCTAATCCATGCTTCTGTGCTTTACTTAAAATGACGTTCTTTTGCCCAAATATATCATGGGAACATATGACCCACAATTAATTGCAAAAGTCATCTCAAATGAATTTGCATGGAACCTTCAACCAACCAACCCTATTGACAATTTAAGGTTAAGTGTGCACATAACCACTAACCAAAGCTTCAAACTTGTTCTCTGCTGTCACAAAAGGTAGTTCTGTTTCCTCAGCCACAGCAGCTGCAATTTTGCCATCAAATCTGCAAGAAGGGATGAAGTTTTAACCAAATAGAAGAAATAGGATGCACAAAGAGCTTATAAAATGCAAGGAACGAATAGCCTGTACAAAAGTCAATGTTAATAAAGTACTCCCTCCGTCCCATAATATAAGATGTTATTACATCCAATATACACAAATACGGTGATGGACTTATGGTTAACCATATATAATCACTAATCTTCACAAATTGTGGTAGTACTTATTTTGAACATCTTCATACCTCATCAGCTAAGACCAAAAGACCACATAGATGGTTTCACAGCAGAGGTTAGCCTGGCATTTGAGAGCAGCTGAACCTGAACTACTACAAAACTAAAGTTTGCTTCACCTAGATTATTATGGCCATAACACCCTGGATTGCGGGTTACATGGATTCTCTCCGCACATGACGCATGAAAAGGGAGATAATTCAGAGAAGACAAAAGATTTGAAAAGATAATATCAATGTATCCAGTAATGGAGACAGACTTTGGAATCCAAGGGGCTTAGACCTGGTAAGACTAAGACCAAGTATATGAGGTGTGACATTAGTGGTGCTGAGTGCGAGGAGGCAGAAGTTATTCTAGAAGGACAAATAGTGCCCAAGAGAGACACGTTCTGATACTTGGGATCAGTGCTGCAAAGTAATGGCGGTATCGATTATATTAGCCACAGGATCAAAGCAGGGTGGATGAAGTGGCGCCAAGCATCTGGCATCCTTTGTCACAACGTCCCACAAAAGCTAAAAGGTAAGTTCTATAGGGCAGCAATTAGACCTGCGATGCTATATGTAGCAGAATGTTGGCCCACTAAAAGACAACACATCCAACAAATGAGCGTCACAGAGATGCACATGCTACGGCCGATGTGTGGCCATACAAGAAAGGACCAAATTGTAAACGAGGTAATAAGTGAAAGCGAGGAGTTGTACCGATTGAAGAGAAGTTGTCCAACACCGACTAAGGTTGTTTGGGAAGCTTGTCTAACGCCAACTAAGGTTGTTTGGGCATATCCAACATAGGCCTCCAGAAACATCAGTTACTAGTGGAATCCTAAAGGGTAGCGAAAATACTAAGAGGGGCAGGAAGCTGCCAAAGCTGACTTGGGAGGAGGCAGTAAAAGGGGACTAGAAGGATTGGAATGTGCATGAAGGTTTGGATCTTGATAGGGACTGCATGGAGATCAGCAATCCATGTGGTGAAACCTTAGTTTACTCTTTTATGCATCGTTTACTTCTTTGCTTTAGATATGTTTCTGTTTGGTTTCATATCTAGCCTACCCCAACTTGCTTGGGAGCTGGGACAAAAGGCTACTGTTTTTGTTGTCGTTGTATCAATGTAACCAGTGAAGAAAAAATATGCACCTAGGCGTGCACATAAGCGTGCCCGGGTGCTAGGCAACAACAGAATGCCTAGCGCTTAATCATGCTAGGTGTGCCTAGGCGTACGCTTAGGCAAGATAAGCGCTAGGCAGTGGCAAAATGCACAATTAATGCCTAGCGCTTTTTTCCTTGAAAGATGTAACAATTTATCTAAAACAATATAATTGTTGTTTACCCTTTCTTCGTGTTCAAGCCAGTACCAACTGCAGTACCACCTTGAGCAAGCTGCATATCAAGGAAAAATGATCAGTGATACTCATGTCCGCCTGCCATTTGACAAATGAAAGAACATTAGTACAGTACCTGATACATCCTTGGTAAGGTACATGCAATTCGGTCAATTCCATATTTCACCTGCAAAGAGAGTGCAATACAATCGATAAGGCTCACTAATGATGTAAAATGCATAGTGATCAATAAGGCAATAATATATGTGGGGAGAATTCCAACCTGTGTAGCATAACCACTGAACTCTTGACCAAGAGTCAGTGGGGTGGCATCTTGGGTATGTGTACGCCCAATTTTAATGATGTCTTTAAACTCATCAGACTGTGGCACCAAGTTAGAAAAATTATCAGGACAGCATATTGATAACAGATATTCGTTTCAACCGTACATTATTTTTAACAGATACCCCTCCGTCCCAAAATAAGTGTCTCAAGGTTAGTACAACTTTGTACTAGTACAAAGTTGAGACACTTACTTTGAGACGGAGGGAGTATTCGAGTGACAAATTGGTAACAGATATTCGTTTCAACCATACATTATTGTTATATCAGTCATATACAGAAAGGAAAAGGTCAACCCACAGATTAACACAAAGAATAGATTAGAGTTAGATAATACCAGGCCTGGAACTGAAAAAGAACCAAGGACATTAGGGTGGGGCATCAAGTTACTAAGAAACGAGCTAATAAGCAGAAGTTAAGTCTTACATTCCCAAAATTGCAGCGTGAAATTTTTGAAGAGCTGCCTATTAGCTATATCCATTAGCAGATAGTACCTTGTCTCAAATGATGCATAACAGTCAAAACCACATTCGAGCCTTATTCAAAATTTGAACAAAGAGAGGACAGTAGGCCACTACAGCGCTTCTGTGCTTGTATGGAGTAAGCTGAGCAATAATGCAACCACGACATCTACTCAAGAAGCAACAAAAGCATCCAAGGTTGGGCTCGCTGATAGAAACCTAGATGTACTAAATTACTGATGCATTTATAGCTGCTACAAAATCTTTTACCCAGACCCCACAAAGCTTTTGGCACTGGGCACACCCTTATATATATAGAACCAAGTCCATCGGTGAAAGGATAGGCATAATAACAATATAAAAGGCACAAGACAAGCAAAATAGCTAATATTCTCGCAAAATGAAAGAGAAGAATTTCTACCTTTGAATGAAGTGACTTATGCAACTGCTCCAGACTTGGGATAAACCTTGAATTGATCTCTACAGCTGCTGCTATGTGCATAACCTGAAAACATCATCAACACAACTGAGAAATCTCTGCAGCGAAATACGACGAAATGAAGATAAGAAAGTAGTGAATACTTACAGTGGGAAATGTATCATTCGAGGACTGTGACCTGTTCACATGGTCATTAGGGTGCACAAACTTGTCACCGCGCTTATGTCCAAGTATCTCAGCTGCTCTATTTGCAATTACCTGGAGAAACAGATCATAAATGATAATGGCACAGCATATTAACACCAAACTGATCCCACAGCATCTTTACATGAGAATCAGCTCAATGCATTAACGAGTTTTTTTTCTCCATATAAATAGAGTACAGATCAGAACACTAGACTATTCACACTCGGAAGAGATTGCAAACCCACACAATGCGTAATTAGATGATTAAATATTAAACAAAAAGATATTACATCAAAGAATCTGCATGTGTAGGACATAAACCTCATTGGCATTCATGTTGCTTTGTGTGCCACTGCCAGTTTGCCAGATAACAAGCGGAAAGTGATCATCCAACTTTCCCTCTGCAACCTCCTCAGCCGCCTGCATTATTGCCTTCCCAATTGTTGGATCAAGGCCATACTCCATATTCACCTTGAAAAGTAAAATGACCAAGTAGTAAGGCCTCCAGGCATACATGATACTTAAGTTAAAGCATCCTACAAACTACCTAGACGAGACATTGGATTACTCGGAATCTTCTTCTGCACACTAAACAAAATACTGTATCTAAAAAATTATCAACATTGCAATCTGTTTATTTCTAATAACATACGAAACATTTACCTATATGGTGTTCAATTAACCATTGCACAAAATTATGAGTAAACTGAAAAGTGGCAGTAATAAAAATAAATAAAAGGCAATAATTCTTTGTCATTTACTCGGTGAAACAACATATTAAGTTGTCACGGAACTAGTCTAGTCTAGTTCATTTTCAGCCAGAAAGATTTAGACAACGGTCTCCTACTGTAAAATGCCGGCTACATAATTATTTACAGAAAACAAAATTAGGTGTGCACATTTTCATTCATGACATAGTGAAAAAATTGTTCTACAACTAGCGATGCTCTTCAAGGACAGGGAAGCAACCAAATGCATCCAACCCTCCAGCCACAGACACGCAGGCATTAGAGAAAAGGCTCGATTATATACCTTAGCGGCGCACTTTTTTAGCACGCCAAAGGCGCGGATGATAGGCACAGGCATCCGCTCGCGCTCACCGCCAATGTCGAAATTTTGCAGCGATCTCTGTGTCTGCGCGCCCCACAACCTACCAAAAAACCACGACAGCAGCCACATCCAGATCAACCACGCCATCCTTGACACGAACAGATTAAAAGCCAAAACACGGGAACTTGTAGGCGCTACGAATCCCACGGATCAATGGCACGAGCTCCTAGAAAATCAAGAGGACAACCACGTACTTGTCGTTGGGCACGCGGATGGGGCCGAACGTGTCGCGCTCCTCGCGGAAGCCGGTGGAGATCGGGCGGGTCAGCGCCGGCCGGAGCAGCAGTGCAGCCGCCGAAGGCGAGCCTGATGCGCCGGCGAGGCGCCGCAGAACCATCGCCATCTCCGGCCTCTCTCGTAAGTTTTTGCGTCGCGTAGAGCCTAGCGGAGGGAAGCGGCGGCTGGTGAACGGGACGGGGAACCGGGGAACCGGGGAAGGGAGGGAGGAGTAGAAGAAGGAATGGGGTTTGATGGGCTGATCTCGGGTGCTGCGGGGTTGTTGCCTTATTTGCCTTGGTGGAGAAGTTGGTTGTGAGTATACCTGGCCAAATGGGCCGGCCCGGCACGGCACGGCCCGGCCAGACTTACACGGGCCAGGCACGGCCCGGCCTGGCCAGGCACGTATAATACACGGGTCGTGCCGGGCTGGCACGCGTGCTCGCCTCTCCGGCCCAGGCACGGCACAGCAGCCTCACGGGCCGGCACGCTCGCCCGATGAGCACGGCGGCCCGAGTGGCACGGGAAGACCGGCCCGAGTGGCACGGCAAGGAGCGAGCAGCCAACCGCCTCGTCACGGGGGTGATGCATCGGACGCGTTCGTCGGCTCGTGCCGTTGTACCTGCATGCACGCCACCTTTTTTTATTGCATCTCAACTGCATGCATGCACCCCTGCTGGCTCCGTGCGTTTGTCGGCTCGTGTCGTTGCACATGCATATACCTATACTATACATGTACGCCTCCGCGACGTGCTAGCTGCTAGCCGTGCCGTGCCGGGCCGGCACGCGTGCCAGGCTAGCCAGCCCAGGCACGGCCCTAGCCGGGCCACGTGCCGGGCACGGCCCATTAAGCCACGTGCCGGGCCGGCCCATGACGGGCCGGGCACGTGGGCTATCGGGTCGGCACGCTAAGGCCGGCCCATCTGGCCAGGTATAGTTGTGAGAGATCAGCTTTGTCTCGCCCAGGGCACGTTTGCCAGCCTTTGTTCCTCCGGACCAAGCCCACTAGATGTGAATTTGGCCCACTTGATAGTATGTGTTTGTTGATCGGCCTGCACCCCACCCCTCTCCCACTCAATGGCGAAGCCACGTTGTGGCTGCGAGGTCAGCCGCCCCCACAGGTTTTTGATAATCCTTTGACCCCTAGCTACACATATTACAAAGGCTGACCCCACATGCTTGGAGAGCTGTCGCTGCTGCCCCCCCCCCCTCCAAAAACATGTTGATTGGCCTGCATCATACGAATTTTAAGGCATCTCGTAGTCAAGTCTGATAGAAATGATCGAATCGGTTGTTTCCTCTCAGTTAGGCTCGGGCGATGCAGGAGAGGGGAACGCGACTTCGAGCTCATGCGAACAAAGACATGGTGTGAGCTCATGCCCATCCCTTAAAAGGCGGCGGGAGGAATTGGGTCACCTCCCGCCAACTCGGTCGTCCCATATAGTCACCTTCGGCTCACCGTGCAAGACCCCCACATGCCCCTCTTCCTTCGAGCTCTTTGTCCCGCGAGGATTCGTCACCAACGAGCATTGCAGGTAAGCGCCGTGTCTTCTCTGACCGAGGGTAGACGGCGGCGACGATTTGTCTTCCTCGTCTTTTTGCGCCTCCACGCGGCTTCACAAATGAAAGTAAGTTCAATCGCTCTCTCCTCCCTACTCGCTCTAGCTTAGATCTATGAGCATGTGGTAGGAGTATATCCGTGAGCATGTGGTAGCATTGTAGACTACCGATCTATGATAATGTGAAGTTGTGGAAGCTAGTGGTGATGAATTGATATCATGCTAGGTTTTTCTGTAGGACTTTGATCATGTCCATGTTGTTTTTCATATCGGTAAGGATGATACTATGGTAGATGTGGTACTAGCCTGTGGATCAGAGCATGTGCAGTATTCTAGTTCGCAAGTGTGATTGATGTGTAGGTGTGGTAGTATGTTGAACTCCATGGTATGCTTTTGTTAGGGAACACGGTATTTCAAAAAAAACTTCCAACGATCACGCAAGATCTATCTAGGATATGCATAGCAACGAGAAGGGAGAGTGTGTCTACGTGCCCTTGTAGATCGAAAGCAGAATCATTTAGTAACGCGGTTGATGTAGTTGAACGTCTTCGCGATCCAACCGATCCTAGCACCGAACGTACGGCACCTCCATGTTCAGCACACGTTCAGCACGATGACGTCCCTCGAGCTCTTGATCCAGTTGAGGACGAGGGAGAGTTTCGTCAGCATGAGGACGTGTTGACGGTGATGATGAAGTTACCAGCGCAGGGCTTCACCTAAGCACTACAACGATATGACCGAGGTGTGTAACTGTGGAAGGGGGCACCGCACACGGCTAAGAGAAGACTTGGTGTGCCTTTGGGGTGCCCCCCTCTCACGTATATAAAGGAGGGGGAGGACGGCGGCCAGGGAGGAGGCGCGCCAGGTGTGGGGAGTCCTACTAGGACTCCCTAGTCCTAATAGGATTCCCTTTCCTTTTTCCTTTTCCGGAGTAGCAAAAGGGGGAAAGAGAGAAGGAGTAGGAGAGGAAAGCGGGGGCGCCGCCCCCACCCCTCGTCCAATTTGGATTGGCAAGGGAGGGGGCGCCACCTCCTGGCCGGCCCTCTCTCTTCTTGTAACACCCCGGATGTGACTTTCCCAATATGTATTCCAACTCTTGCCGTTTCCGGCGTTAAGTTATTTTATTTTCTCGGGTTCGGGTTTTTGTCTCCGTGTGTTGTTGTCGTTGTCATGCATCTCATATCATGTCATCATGTGCATTGATTTTGCATATGTGTTCATCTCATGCATCCGAGCATTTTCCCCGTTGTCCGTTTTGCATTCCGGCGCTTCGTTCTCCTCCGGTGGTCATTTCTACCTTTCTTTCGTGTGTGGGGATTAAACATTTCCGGATTGGACCGAGACTTGCCAAGCGGCCTTGGTTTACTACCGGTAGACCGCCTGTCAAGTTTCGTACCATTTGGACTTCGTTTGATACTCCAACGGTTAACCGAGGGACCGAAAAGGCCGTGTGTGTGTTGCAGCCCAACACCCCTTCAATTTGGCCCAAAACCCACCAAAACATGCTCCATCATCTAGAGCGTTCGATCACAATCGCATGGCCAAAAACTGCACCTCATTTGGACTCTCCTAGCTCCTCCTATGCCTATTTAAAGACCACTCCCCGAAAATTTCGGGCAAACCCTAGATCTCTCTCTCCTCGCGCGCCGGACAATTCCTCTCGTGCCGACGGACATGTCCGGCTAGCCCCGCCGCCGCCACGTGTCGCCCGCCGGTTGGCCGCGCAGCCGCCCCACTTCCCCGTCCGCCGCCGGCCCGGGAGGCCCAGGAGGGGCCCCCGAGGCCCAAACGTCGCGCCCCGCCGCCCGGCTGTCGACCGCCGC